ACATTTTTGGAGAATTTGATGTTTCCCCATTCAAAGAAATAGAAGCTGCACTTGCTTGCCCGAGAGGCGGTTTAAAGATGGCCACCGAGTGAAATGACTTGGTGAAGACCAAGTTTCCCAGGTCGAGTTGCTGTTGAAGAGGAGTAATCCAATTGGAGAGTAATCCAATATAATGACTGCAATACGCCAAGAGGAATCGGCCTATTGGAGTCACGCATCACTGAATTGGAATGGTACTCCAGGCGCTGGAATTTGAAATTACACGGCGTGCCAGAAACATCAATGAGAAAAATGTGAGGAAAGAAGTGATTTGCATTTTTCAGAAATTACTGCCAGAACACACTGATCGTCTTCCGAATGTGATTGACACAGTGCATCATGAAGAAAGTGAATTCTACCTGCAGTTTAATCATCCAGTTCTCTTTGCGTACACACAGAGCAGCAGTATGGGCGGCAGCCAAAAATTCTGCATATCTATGGGAAAATACTTCTCTCTGCATTTCAGAGAGGCCAACAGAGAAAGCAGGAGGAAGTTGTGGCCGCTAGTAGATGAGGCACGGAAGGTAGGAAAGATTGCCTACTTTGTAGCTGGTTGTGCCTTTGTGGAGAAAAAGGAGATATTTCTATCAGGCTGAATGATCTCAACTTTGACATAAGGTTTTCTGTTTACATGTTTGTTTGTTTTTTTAAATAGATGCAAGTTGTTTCTTTCTTCGCCTCCTTTTGACCAGGACCATATTTTCATGCTATGAGTTGAAAGGTCATGTTTTGTCTGTTTATGCCCAAAGCAGTCACAGTTGATGTGGTGCTATGTTCTCATCACGGTTAGTAGCTGCCTTGTGCAGCTGACACAGAACAGCATACACAGTTTGCGTTCAGTGAATATTCTCCAAAATGGCGCTATGTTGACGCGGAGGAGACGAATTGTTGAATAAGTCGTTATTTTTGTTTTCTTTGCGTACAAGAAAGTATTCTCGTCGCTTCATAAAATTCAGATTGAACCACTGATGGCAGATGGACTATTTTGACGATTTCTTTCATACTTTTCTGGGCCTTGACAGTGTTATTTACTTGGCAGTCAATAGGACAGTCACAAGCCTCCCGGTTTTCATCCAAAATATCTTAAATTGTGTTCTGAAGACGAACGAAGCTTTTACGGGACGACATGGGGGTAAGTGATTAATGACAAAATTTTCATATCCCTTTAAGCTTCTGTTTTGGGAAATTTGTTCAAACGACTTCTATTTTTGATATTTTCTTCAAATGTTGTTATTGTGATGTCTTTATCTATAACTTCACTCAATGCCTGGGGACTAAGGAACACTTTAAAACAGAAAGCCATTTTTTTTATTTGCCAAACAATGTAAAACAGATTTTTGTTTTCTTCAAGAGACACTCGGCATTTCTGAGGATGTGCCTTTTTGGAAATCCCAGTGGGGAAATGACATTTTTTTGTTCTCATGCTTCTCAACGCTCTGCGGGTGTTTGTACACTCAAAAAACGTATTTGCTGGTAAACGTCCTTATACGAGTTGATTCTGTTATGATAGCTCTATATCCTTTATGGACTCTATAGATAATATTCATTGTATTAGTGCTCCTGATAAAGATTTTTGTGATCGTCCCATCACATTAGCTGAGGTTCTTGAATCTATCAATATTTAAGGGTTAATAAATCGCCAGGCATAGACGTCCTTACTTCGGAATTTTACCAAACATTTGCAAGATCTGGCCCCTTTTTTATTAGAAGGTATATATGAAAGCATTAGGGTGGAATCTCTTCCATCTACCCTAACTCAAAAGTTTAATAACTCTCATCCCCAAGTCTAACAAAGACTTGTATCTAATTGATAATTGGCATCCGATTAGTCTTTTAAATTGATTATAAAATCATTGCTACAATCTTTGCAAAACATTTAAAAATGATTTTAGAGGACATGATAGATGAAACACAATCAGGCTTTTTAAAAAACAGACATATCTCAAACAATATTCAGTTGGTTCTTGATCTGTTAGTGAGGGATGACAGATATATGCTTTTTCATGGACCTGTTCATTAAAGCAGTTAAAAATCCTTATGCCCATGGGTACTCTCTCCAAGATTTGAACTGCAGCAGGGAATACGTAAGGGGTGCCCCATTTTGCCATTTTGGCAACTTTGTTTATATGGACTACTCAATTATTAGCCAATAACATTAAGAATAGCACCTTGCAAGTGGTTAGTGTCATGGGAAGGGAGTTCATCATAAGTCAAATGGCTGATGATACTACCCTTTTCCTAAAAAAAATCAGACCAGATTCCCTTAACACTATTAAAACGTTCTCCATTGCTTCTGGGCTTCATCTCAATGTGCTCAATTGTGAATTAATGCCAGTTAAGCAACTCTCTGTTTCCAGTATATTTAATATCTAATATCTAAAGAGAAAATAACTTTGGAATAGTAATTTCCAAAATCCAAAACTTAGGCGCGATTTAAACTTTTTGCCTATTTTGGAGAAAACTACAAAAAAAAAAAAATCAATCAGTGGCTTCAGAGGGACTTGTAACTAAAACAAAGGATTCTCCTCTCCAAAGCAGAAGGCATTTAACATCTAACATGCAGCTCTTTAGACCCTGATAAAGCAATGTGTAAAAAGATTGATCAACTATTATGTAACTTTGCATGGAAAAATAAGACGTTACGTTAAAAAAAATTGTTTTATCCAACAGTTACAGTAATGACGGTCTTGATTTTGCAACGTTAAATAATACTTTTAAAATCAAGTGGTTGAGGAATTACTTGAAAAATCCATCCAGTATTTGTAATATTATACCAGAATGTCTTTTCTCAGTTGGGAGGTTTGAATTTTCTATTGTTATGTAACTATAGTATTGAGAAGTTCCCTGTTGCGCTCTCTAATTTCCACAAACAAGCACTATTAGTATGGTCTATGATTTTCAAACACAATTTTTCTCCAACTAATTACTTCATTTGGAATAATAATATCTGCTGTAATCATAAGTCCCTATTTTTTTGTTTTTGTTTTGCCTTTTTTGTATCAATCAGGTTATCAGGATGGTTAATTGTTTACTTATCAAGAATTTCTCACAATAATTTTCCTGTTACTCCAAAACAGTTTGCCATTGTATTTGGTGCTCTCCCGAATGGTGTCATTTTTTTTTATGGGCTATAATAGTGCTTTGACAAGTTCTGAAATGCCTCTTCCAGACCCGGTTGACACGTACGTAGGTGGAATATTGAAATATTTGCTTTCTTTTTCTTAATGATTGTTTCCATTCCTCGTTTCAGAAAAAAAAAATAAATAAATAAAAAAAAAGGACATCCATTCAAAAGTGCAGATTAAAATCTAATCTTGAACATAACTATCTTTTTGATTAAACCGCACAATGAACACAGGAAAAGGACTATGACGTAAAATATTTTATTTTGTTTTTGTAAATGTTTCTAAATCTGATTCCACAAACTCCAAAACCCACACATTGTATACATCAAAAGAAAAGCTTCATTTTAACATTGGATACTACTATACAGGACAAAGAAAAGACAAATACTGTTAAATGTCTGAATATTGTACAAGGAGCAAAAAAGAAAATCCAAGAAACACATTTTATTACAGCCAGTCATTGAGAAATTATGTACAATTGATTTATCTGAAAATTGAAAAAATACATCATGCCACATATATTACAAGCTCAGGACTGTTTAAGAATACCAACAATTGCAGTCCACATTAGTTGTGCACATGAAAAAACTTCATTTCAATCTGGTCTGCAAAGTGCTACTACCAGGTTTGAATTAGTTCATTATTTAATTGAGTTTGACATCATACCATGATTTTTAATTTTACCAACACCAAAAATAAGTCATCTTTTATTCTTTAATGTAAACAAGAAAGAAGCATACTTTACATTTCATTAAATGTCTACGCATTAAGTTTTCTGAATGTGAAAGGCATTGAACTTCATCTCTGAAATTCAAAATGTGAGTCTATGCTGTGAAGCGTTAAGAGCAGCTCGTGATCGCTATTGGGAACTATCAAATGCATCATGGGTGGCTTCAAATGGGAATTCACAGTGCACACTAATCTGATGAACAGAGTTAAGATGTCACAATCACCTCAGTATGATTGGTGCTCGTTTTGATTGTGAAAATATATAAAAATGGCAAAAAAGCAAAGAAAAAATTCAAGTGGTCAGATCATTTTAGACAATATTGGTTCTACATTCTAAATACAACAAAAATACTCTGAATTAATTTTTTTTGTTTTTTACAGAATCTGTACAATTTTATACACTACATACACACTCAAAATGATATCTTGACATCCTTCTTAAATACTTTTTTTAAATCTTTTTTTTTTTCCATTTCATTTTATTGCAAACAAGCAAAAGGTCACCCAGACAGCTATGATAAAGTTAAGGTAACATTTGGTCGACTATTTAAAAATGTTCATTTATAGACGGCTATTTACACATTGTATAAAGTAATGTGTTCTGACCAATCGGCAGGCTTTTCCAGCAGCTCGACTCTGCTTTTCCATATCTTTAAAAAATAGCTTCAATCAATAAATACAAAAGCCTCTTATCTTACAGAAGTCTCTATAAGTCTCTTATTTTACAGAAATCAAAACAAAGGAAAAAATAAACTGACTCATGGAATCAAGTATTTAAACGGTATCTTTCTGTTTTAGTGCATGCCTCTTTATATCTAAATAAGGCTGTGGCCAGCACTGAACATCATGTTTACCACTTAATCGCCATCTGCCGGAGCGCATCGTCTCATCTCTCATGCAGAAAAAAATACATGTTCATTTACATTGTCTTTGCAATTCAGAGTTACCAGTGTGCAGCCTTTTTTATTTTAGGTGAAGGTGCTCAATCATAAACTATATCAACTCTTCCGCCACTGAACCAAAACAGACCCCTGGAGTCGTTTTAACTTTATGAACAACAGGCTATTATGCCTTTAAAAGCCCCTAAAGCTCTGAGGTCTACATCATGCCCTAACAATGTTTTTTTTTTGTCTGTCATTATATATATATATATATATACATTAGAATAGACGCAATTTCCTGGGCCTAAATAATAATAAAAAAGGAATGCATATGTTGAATTGTTAATTGTTTCACTGATATCTTTCAATTCATCCATTTCCGGCAGTTAACTGCACCACAGTGACAAGGGATTTTATGCTGATCATCCTCCAGATCAAACTTGTAGTCATAACACAACTGGGAAAAAAAAAAGGTGACCAGAATGTTAAATGTCTATGTCTTTGGGCCACATTTTATAGATGTGGGGAACAAATTCCTATAAGACTGGTGGGATAAATTAGTCTTACCTCTTCGCCTCTCTGGATTCTGCGGTTGGAGCTGATGATGATTTTGTGTCCTCTCTCAAAGGTCACAACCTCAGCAATGCAGTTGGGTGCACAGGAGTGGTTGATATACCTGGTGGATAAAAGGAATGGAACGGATTAAGCAAGTGAGGCCAAAGCATGTGAATGCAAATGTTGTTAGCTATGCAAATTTGGTTTTGTGTGATGTTGCATTCTGCTGTGCGTTAAGACAGCAATTCATAGCATAATCCATGTATGCACTGCTTGCTTTCTCAAGAGTTTTCTCTTTCAGGTCAACTACTTTCATGGTGGACAATTTTTTTGTTTCTGAGCAAGTTAAAGCTAGCTATATGGACACTTACAGACATGTAAAGCCTTGGCCAAGGCAGCATGTGTGTTTGTGTACTTGTTTAGAGTATGTTTCTGGCTTTAGCGTCTAAAGCTAACATTGCTGGAATGTTCAAAAAAATTCAAGATAATTTTCCACCTTGCAGGTCCTCCTGAAATAGTCGCATCAATTACATGCTCACTATCGATGCGAAACATGTAGACTCCGCGATTCTGAAAAACAAAACCAAAAATCAATTAACAACACATGGACATAACACGCACTTGTTCAGCATGACTTCTTATTTTTAGATTCAGTTTTATCATAATGCATACCTGTGCCTCGTACATCTTCTCTTTTCGGTTTGCCACTTCATTGCGAATGATGGTACCAATGTATTCGATAACCATGGTGTATTTCTCAATGTCCCTTGCAGCGTACAGCCCTAAACCCTGAATTAAAATAATACAAAAACTCAAATTATTACAAGTTTGTGTCAAGGTGGAAAGAGGATCTGTTCAGAATGGTCTTAGCACTCAGCACACCTGGTTAAAAAAGTCGCCACTGATATATATACACACATATATAGGGGGTGTGTGTGTGTGTGTGTGTGTGTGTGAATGTGTGTGTATATATATATATATATATATATATATATATACACACTGCAGAAACAGTACGAGTAGTTATGTTAGCATGCTATTCCAAACATTGTCTCTTTTTAGCTACTAAATCCCACGAGATCATCATTTTCTCTAAACTTTCAGCCATAATGCTCTTTCTACCTGTATGTGTGAACGAGCCAGGTAGACATTGGACTTCCACTCAGCCTTCATACGACGGTACTGAGAGGATTTGGAATGGAAAAACTGCTTGCTGTAGGGGGTAACACCCATCTCAGCCAGATTCCCAGAGCTCTGCGGGGTCTTAGAGGAACTACTGCTGGTGAGGGTATGAGGCCTGCATCAGAAACATAAGCATATGTGCTTTGTTTAAAACAAACAGGACTGACTCATATTGGGTCATATTCGAAACCATTTTTTAAGTAATTTTTTCAAACATTATAAATTTATTTATTCTGTATGTTTTCGTTAATGATTATTTCAATACCAGCATTGCATTTTTCTGCTGAAGTAGGCCAAACATTCTATTAGAAATACTCCAATAGTATACTAGAGTTATTATGCTCTAACAACAGTTTTTCTGCTACTATACTAAATCTACAGTGCCACAGCAAAACAAATTAATTTATCCAGCAGTTTGATTTCAATGTGATGAGAAAGATTCTCATGAAGTAATACAAAGACAATAAACAGACAACACATGTATGCAAACACTCAACATGTACAATGCAGTCTGATTCACAAACAATGACTCAGGTTCTTTTTAATAAATCAGTTAAAAAAGACTCAAAAATCAGTCAGAGTTAGTGGTTGAATCACTGAATCAACTTGAGCCGTTCTTGACTTCACTGAATTGAACTCCAACTAAAAATAAACCACTTCTCATCACTTAGTCTCTCTCTCTTTTCATATGAAAATGGATTTTTCAATGATTAATTGAGGGCAAAGTTAACTCGCAGCAAACCAAGCTCACAGGCTAAACCAGGACATGAATGGATGTTCACTCACAGACCACAGGGAAAGCAGGAAATCCAATACAAACATGGACGAAAAAAGTTTAAGTTATACAGAATACCTTAACACGAACCTCTTGACATGTGTGCAAGCTTTTGGTTCAGAGCGGGCACATCCAGAAGGATTGATGGCCAAGGGCAGCTGCATCAGAGGGTTACGGCCATAACGGAACGTGTACTTCTCACATGCTTCAACTCCAGGAAGCTAGAAGCAAAGATTAATGTTATAATACCATTACTAAGAAAGGAATGTTTACAAAAAATAAGAGCTTATTTATTAATAATTAAAAATGTCAGGGACAACTGTTTATTTTTTTTCAGCAAATGGAATTTTATGTCATCAATTATCTATCTATCTATCTATCTATCTATCTATCTATCTATACACACACTCGCACAAATCTTCATTAGATTTTATGGACAGTTTTTTGTGCAATGGTATTTATTTTATATGGTTTTAGTAAGGGTTCTAGTAGTCTCAGCCTCAGATGTCACGCCCACGGACTGTTGGCTGAACGTCTGATGCATATGGCACACGAAATTGGAAGTTTCGAAGTCGTCATCGGATTGGTTGAATTGTACAGGATTTCCGGAAGACGTGTGTTTCACGTTCTTTAACGTTCCACCTGGAAACAAATATGCCGTGACGCCAAACCCGCTCATGTTAGAAGCAAGCCGTCGTGTTTACAACTGTGACAATGAGCGCTTATCAGGTTCAACTAAACGCTGGATTTTTAAAAGTATGTGAAATATTTAAAGTTCGCAGCATAGAATCTTTAAAATACGTCCATGAGTTTTACACACCAGTCTGTTATTGTGGGGACATTTCCATGCCCCTAAACATGACGCGGAACAAACTGAAACATGATTGGTTGCTTTACCTGTCAGTCATGTGGCCTCTTGGGCGGTCCTTGGCCATTCAAAGCGGCCATGGATCCCAGACCTTCTGCCGTCAGTCTGAAGTTCTGGCTACACGAGACTAGGGTTCTAGTAACTGCAGTTTATGCTAGAGCAGTTGCGATAAAGAGACTCCTGACCTGTCATACCAACAAAGGGCCTGTTCCATTACCCACACTTGTGGTCTCGGCCACTTTTATAGCACATGCACCAGACAGGAAGTACGGAAGTCTGTCCCAGTTCTGAGAAATGCCATAGCTCAATGACCCTTGAGCACACTAAATACGTTTTATAAAATATAATATACTATAATATACTGCTTTGGTATTATATTTTATAAGACATTTCCCACTGATTTTTATCACTTAATCAGAAGCACCACAATTAATAAATTTTGTCTGTTACTTTAAAATGTCAATTTTAAAGTGTTAAGTATTGAAAATCAAAATGTGTGAATAAAGCTCTGTAAAAACTTTGGGAATTCAAAAGTTCTATGTACAATTGCAGTCTTCATGCACACTTGAAAACGTAATACCAGAGATATGTCATGGAAGACTACTGCGTACTAGGCCAGACCCAAAAGTTGAGATGTAGACATCCATTCAATAATGAGATTTTAAAAGAATGTGGTTCATTTGTGCTTTTAGAAATCGAATTTTCGGTTTCCGCTCAAATTTAAATCTACCACGTCTCTTTCCACACCCACAAAATACATCTTAAAGTGCCCCTATTATGCCATTTCGAATATTGCCTTTCATGCAGTGTGTAATGTAGCTGTATGTGAATGTAAACGAACTGCAAAGTTGTTAAGCTGAAAGTGTACAATAAATACATTTATTGTTTCCCAAAAGAAAGAATAGACTCTGAAAGTAAATTCCTTTTATTTTCACTTCCGAAAGATGAGGCTGCAAAGAATCGGTGGTTAAAATTACCAGCAGTACACCCCAATCTTTTTTTGTGTTCCCGTCATTTTACTGATGACTGCTTCTCTAATCTTGTGAGTTCAACAATCTTGCGATTTAAAAAATGCTCGCTTTGGACCAGCTGGCTTGACTAAATCACAACCTGTATGAATGATAAATAATAGATGTTTATATTTTCTATCAAGCGTTCAAAATACGGAACTATGGCAATGGGCGTATCGTTTCC